GGGCGACGGGAGCGACCATGAGATGTGTTGTAGGCCCCGGATCAGGCACGCATGGTTAGTGACTTACAGAGGTTGGTTCGCTGCAACTCTCTGTAACCGCTGTCATTATGATTCGAGTGGTTAGCAGGAGGTTTGTTAGTTTGATGGGCTGTAGTTACTGGAGGATGGCGGTGTATACGGCCGTATTCACTTGGTATCTCCAATGAATGGTTGCAACTACTCAGGAGGCTTAGGATAAACTTGGATGGTTATGGCGATGGTGTGTTTGGGATGCGAATACAATCTTGTAGAATCTTCTTGTTGCGTTATAAGTTACAGATTATTTATATGATAGCTGTAAACGTTACTGGCTCAATCTCATATTGTGACTAGATCACGAAGGTTATCCACTTAGCTACCAACCGGCAGGGCGTCCTCCCTGTGTGTATACGCGCTTGCACCATCTACGATGCCAATATTCCTCCCAGACTTCTTACTCATGTCTCACATCACTGTGTAACTAGAGCTGACTAAACCTAGATATACATCTTCTCACAATAATAAAGCAATCTCACTAGCTGCATACGTAACTAAAATCTGATGCAAAAAAAAAAAAAAGCAATCTCACATACTTCTAGAAGTCTCCATAACTAGTTTCTTTTAAGAGTGGTCTATAGGTGACTATAGTGATCTATTTTTATTGCATCAGATTTTAATTGCGTATGCAGCTATCTAGCTATAACAAAATATCAAAGAAAAGTACAGAATAGATGATTCAACGTAGAGGAAGAGCACTCATGCCTCGGATTTCATTTGCAAGTACCACTGCAAAGTTATGGTGGCTTTTTCTTCACCCCAAGTCAACCCTCATCCGTGTAACCCACCCAGGGGAACGTCTCAAATATCCTGAGTTATCCAGACATGCCTCCATCATCTTTCAACTTTTCTCCGCGCGAAATATGGTCTTAGGCGTCTCCTTCCCAAGTGGAGTAGGTGCCCAGGCTACTCAGACTATACCAGAGAACACCATCAGGAGGCGAATCACAACACCTTCCATCGTTTGCTTGTGTTTATAGTGTTAGCTGCTCTCTTTGGGATTGGTTCCTACGCCACACAATTGTAGGGTCGCGTAATTTCCCAAGTACCGCTATCATGCACATCAATGGTTCGATCATATAGGTGCTAGACAATGATATGGGTCCGTTATCTGCGATCTTGGTCCAGGGTTGACAATAGATGAGGCAATGTACACTACTGATGTACGCCTCGCGATTAGTCTCTCGACGAAATCCACGTGCCCCGAGTACTTGAGGCGCCATGAGTATTACGAACGCCGTACATTAGTTGAGCTTTTACAAGCAGTTTTTTTCTACTTCGACTTAGTAGACATGAGAAATTGATGTCGTGCATTTTGATGTGTGTTTGAGCACGCGGCGCGGTGGGTCCAGATTTCGTCTAAATGGAGCCTTACCCTGTGACAAATATAATGATGTGGGGAATCTATTTGTGCATATTAAAATTAAATCTAATACCAGCCTTCGACACCATCCATCTGAATCGAGTTGATTTTGCGAGCCTTGCACCCAAGGGGAGCGTGGCCTTTCGAATTTCTTCATAAAACACAAACATGGACCTTGCCGCATCCTTAGAGGTCGTGGGCCGAGCTCGAGGTTAATCTCTATATCAGTCTTGAAGTCAGTTAGCGTGGCGCAAAGTGTTGAAAGTTTTGATTGGCACTAATTACGTCCTATGTTCCAGCGCATTTTAAGCCCGATGGGGTAAGTACATTTTCATTTGTGGTTGTTATACGAGCGGATCCGGGAAGATAAATAAACAAGCGCTATGCGAGACTTTTACCAGGGGCGACTGTGTCCCATATTGTCCCCTATTGTCCCCTTTTCTCGTAGTCGTCAATAGTTATTTACGAACTCTTCGTCTAGAAATCAGTGCATGAAACCCTCGCCGACAGTTTGTGTGGCAGTTTACCAGGGACAAGGCCCCGTGTTCTTCATATCCGACATTGCCATTCCCCCATTAGCGCTTCGGAAAATTCCTAGCTCATCCCTGGTAAAATATCTTTGCCTTGGGGGAATAGAAACAGCCACAACTAGCTACAGCTTTGAATGTGTAGATCTTTGTGGGCCGTCCACATGGCTAAGGTTTTCTTGTCCGAAATCTAGCCCTGATACTTCACAGGCATGGTGATTGACGTAGGCCTAGTTCAGAGTATTAAAACCCTGTATCACACTAGATTCATAATGATTGTAGCTCAAAGATACACCAGGTCTCTAGAGGCCAACCACTAGTGATGTTGGCTGGAAGCGTCCAAGGTACCAGAAACTGGTTCAAAGTCGCGTCTCGCCAGCCTCCGCGACGGCCCATGTTTGTTGACTTGTTATTTGCTTTCCCCATACATCTGAGCCGCAAGTGACAGTTAATTACGCACTTTTGCCCCAGATATAGCGCAGGGATCTAATTAAAGCTAATTAAGATCTTCCCTGAAGAGGATCTCGACCTGATAGATCTGGGCGAAGCGCGAGAATCAGCAGCATTGGATTTCCGATACTTCGGTGGAGACTGTCTTTAAGATCTATCTTACGAAACCTCACAGAGAAAACTTCAAGCGGTTTTTATGAGCACCCCTCCTCATTTTTTATCGCTTCCACGGTTTTTTTTTTTTTTTTTTTTTGTGGAACAGGGTCTTCACTATATCAGCTACTGAGGGTCGGTAGGTATAGTTGGTTGATGAACCGTGTAGTCATGCTATCTGGGAAGAGCGCAAATGTCAGAAACAGTCTTAAGTGGCATCAGCAATTGAACAATTGGGGTTATTCAACCTTCAATGTAAGATCCTCTATTCATACCCCTACATATCGCTTGTGGACTGATCTTCGCTGCTCTATCAGCTGTTTGAGACTTGAAAGATTGGGTAGACTTCGCTTGTTCATAAGAGTAGGCCATTAGTGAACATGACCAGTCACCGCCTCGCTCTATCGTGTCGTAAAAGGGCGCCTCTTGATGAAATGTAACTCTGGAGTTCTTGTAAATCTCTGTGTCTATTTTACTCCGGTCATTGATTGGGTATTTTTAGGCCAGCCATATGGATCCATTTGAGAAAACTGCTGCGCAAGAGATTGGTGGACACAGGCCTGCGTATTTCCTGATGAGTTTGACAGGATTTACCCATGGGTACCCCATCAAGCCCCTTTCACCCCCAGGAGCGAGAATCATAAGCTCCAGGGGTCGAGTCGATTGCAATAATAGAAAAGGCTGTAGAAAAACATGGAGCGGACAGAAGGTTGGGCCCCTCTGCCGCGTTGCTATGATACGCCACGACTGACTCGGGAGCTCCTGTATTAAAATGCACATCTAATGGTCACATGATACATAAACGCGGTTGTGAATCCATCGACTGCTTGCTCCAGATCGCGGAGGGAGACCAAGCAAGTACATGAATTATCTTAACATGCTATGATTCCATTACGCTGCTCGTCAAAGTCGCCAGTCGCAGCACAGATTGATGAGCCTTATTCGTGGTCCACTTTCATCTCTTCCATTCCTCTCCCCGTGCTAACAGCTGCCTGTTTGGAATCGCATACACTAGAACGAGCCACTAGCAGGTTGACATAATAGTCAAGTTATTGCTATTTCGGCATGACTTCCGGAGTTTAAACTAGTCACAAGCTATCTGAATTTTAGTGGGGAATACTAATTGGTGCAATCTGCTTCCAGATCTACTGCGAACCCATTCGTGCTCGACGAACAATTAAGCTTGCTGCCCTCCACCGCCCAATTGCTGAAGCCTTTTTTCGAGGAAAATCATCCCAAACAACAACTATTTTACGACAATCAACTAGGGGCAAATTAATACGATTTCAGAAGTGGGTAAGGGCGTGAATTCACGATACACAGTCCGAGCCCGCGCCATTAATTTTCCTCTCCTATCTCAAGTTCAACCTCATCTGCTTTGCCTCACTATGGCCAATTCTAGACGTGGCTAGTCCAATTGATACGCCGGGCGATTTGAGCACCGCAAACTTACCAACTCCAAGTTGCCACTACTAAACTACCTCGCCCTACTCTTTATGCACTAGCCAACTGACCCCCATGTCCCCAGTCAGACTCTTTTTTGCTTCCGTTGGTGATCCCCCGTAACCCGCTGCCCCCCCTCCCCCCGAGCTCGGCTCCGTGCACCCAAAAGGCTCAACCGCCACGTGACCTACAAGGCACAGTAGTCATGACGTAAACTGAAATGTCCCCATCATCTTCACTACCACCTATTCAGTTCATCACTTAGAAGCGGCATTGTTGAAATTCGTCAAAGCCGCGCCTCCAATTTACGACGTTGTTTCCAGCTTCTTTTCTAATTTGTGTCATCGCACTCAACCTCGCTCCCATCTGAATTATCCGCGATCTATGCAGCTACAATTCTGACACATCACTCTCTTGTCCACTTTTCTCAGCAACCTTAAAAATCCCACCAGTACCTTCGCTCACTCATTAGACACTCTCTATATCTCTACTTTTCATCCCGGCACTCCGGCATATAGTTTCACCCAAGGTACGTTGGTTCCGCTATTACACGCTCTCTTGCAGACAGCGGCTACTATTGTTTGAGTTGTCTATATCTGGCGATTTTCTCAATGCTTGTCCGTCTTGCATTTCGGATGATTCCTTGGCATCCGATACAGTCCTTTTCTCTCCATTCTCCCCCAATACCAAAACAACCAGCGCTCCCTTCCGGTTTGAAACAATCACCCTATCTGTTCAGCCTATTTCAGAAACAAATTGAGACTAAGAAGGATTCAGACACGTCACCTCACCCTGTGTTTTCGGTGATGACCTTTCTTACTGCAAGAGGTAAGTGATATGAACACCTCCACACAGCTGCACCTCAGTTCGATGATTGAATTTTACCCACATGGCCCGACTAATGCCTTTTCATCTAATACGTCGAGCCCACTAACATGTCTCTTTACAGCCGATCAAGATTGAAACCGCAAAGTTTTCATCAGTTCGCCATGTCGAACAACACAAGTACGGAACCAGGTATACTTCCACAAGAAGCGCCTACAACGGCAACTTCTTCCACCTCGGCGAGCTCAAGTAGCCAAACGACAGTTAGCAGTCAAACATCTGTATCTACTCACGAACCAAGCACGTCTCCTATTATAGTACCCGTAAACTCACCTACGACTGCTCCTGCCCCTGAGCAAAATCCTGCACCCAACACATCCCCTCAGTCACCAAGCCCAGCACCACCTCAACAGACTGATCAACCAAGCAAACCTGACCAACCAAGTAAACCAGAGGAGCCAGATCAGCCTGGAAAACCAGCCGAACAGCCTCATAGTACCACATCTATTGTAATATCAAATTCTCCAACTGCCACGGCAAACACAAATGCACCTTCTGTTCCAGAATCCTCTGTTCTTGTAACTGTTACTCTCAGTCCTACGGCGCCAGGTGCTCCAACGGTCGTCACAGTTTTTCAGACATCAACTCACATAGCTAGTCCTAATTCCCCTACTCACTTATCAATATCCAGCTCTTCATTAGCGACACCATCAGCTGGCCTCCAACACAGTTCATCCTCGACACCCAACGGAGGTGGAATAAAAGGAGGCGGAAAAATTGCTGTGGCCGTCATTGTCCCTATCTTAGCCTTAACACTTCTCGCGCTAGCAGCCACATTTTTTTGGCGGCACAGAAGACAACGTAAGGATGCCGAAGAACTTCGCCGGAAGGAAGTAGAAGAATATGGTTATAATCCTAACCACGACCCAACGTTTCCAGTGCTTGGCCCATCGGGGAGCGATGGACCAGCGGAGATGCGAGAAGGCATTGCCGGATATCGAGGGTGGGGAACTACTGCCATTCCTGGGAGGCAGATCTCCTCGACAATGTCTGCAGGTCGTATGACCTCTGATGGCATCGGACTGGCCTATTCCGAAGGAGAGTCCCCAACACACGGTACTATGTCAGATACCAGGTCAGAGAACGCTCTGATATACGATCGACCTACATCGAGCAGCGACAAAGAACCACTTGGAGCCTTGGGACCAGCGGTGAATGCAAATGTAAATGCTAATATTAATCGCGGTCCGTCCAACGCTTCATCATCGTATAGTATTACGAATAAATCTGATGGGTCTGGGGATGGAAGTAAGGAATTTTATAACATCCAGAATATGCAGGGAAATATTTATCCGGGTGAATCGACCAGTGGTCGAGCTGAAATGGCAGCTCAGCCAGTTATTCGCGATGTATCCGCCCGAAGAAATACTCGAATAGAGAGTCCATCGCACTTTCCCCAACAATCAGCTGGAATTTCACAAAATTTCTAACAATATCTTTTCATTTGCTCCTAAATCGACATTCTCTCTACGCCGTTACGCTTTCATATACCTTGTAAATAATCAGACCGAGAGTTACTCCATGGCTCTATATGTATTTTGGTTTTAGGGTTTCCTGAACCCTCACATAATTTCCCATATGTAAGGAGGATTATTTCATGAATATATCATGTTTGAGTACACTCGATAATGAGCGTGTCATTTTCCGTAAGTTTCGTTCATGTTCAAAAAAGGAATATGTGGGTTGGCGGGAGTTAAGCGGAGTTGATGCTTGGTGCTGAGATTCAAACAATTCAAATCAATCACGCCATGACTTTGCATGCGCTAAGAAGGTATCTTTTGACTACAAGGAGCTCAGGTTAATAACTCTAATTTAAAAACACTCAGTTACATGATAGTAATATTAAGAGGCCTGAGCTCTACAACGACAGCATAGATCTGTCCATAACGTAGATATCTAAAGCTAGTAGCAGCACGGTAGCATTAGAGCCATGCTAAATAATGCTGTGTATCCCGAAAATACTTGCCAGTAATACTTCAAATGTGGACATTTTTCAAACCCCTTGTTGATACGGAGATGAGAAATGTTAGTAGGGCAGCTTTTGACGATGAGAACGAAAAGAATGGGTTATTGGTTGCACGGGTCGGGGTAATAATTTGAAGCCAGCAACTGCTCCTCTCGATCAGCAGTGACTGTCTTCCCTTTGAGCGTTGTGCTTTCGCCGAAATGGCAGTCTAATACTAAAAGAGCAAAGGTCCTGGATCCCCTGCGCCTGACACATTCGAGTTGAGTCTTATCACTGCATTCTGTGGCGATCTCATCCCCGTTTGATCAGAATACGAGGTCCGGGTGGAACTACGATAGGACTAGCGGCTAGCCCCGCAGCAATCATTCGTACCCCGACATGAGGACTGGGGGAAGATGAGGTTCCCAGTGGGCTTTGGTAGTTTTCATTGAATCTATTGTCCATGCCAGGCTTTGAAGCCATGTAGACCTCGATTTTCAGTTGTTGACGGAAGACTCCCGAATTTCAGAGCAGCTTTCCAAGATCCTTGAGCAAAGCAGTGAGCATTCATGATTCTCCATTAAACACTTTACCGCTGCAGCTGGTAGACAGTCTTGATGATGAGATGCTGGTCGTCAAGGCTCCAGGGACGTGGTAGAAAAGGTCATGCAGGATGACGGAAATGCAGAAATGTGATGGTTGAATGCGGGAATGATGTGAGAATCTCACGATGAGCTGGTTGAGAGATTGAACATATCACCTCAACTCTCAGTCACAAGGACAAGCGTTGCAAGTCAATTTTTTGCGGTCATCTCATGACAAGTTCGGAGACTATTGATTAGCCAGAGAACAGTTCACACTGCAAAGGCCCGGCTGTCACATTATCGCACTCATAATGCCGGCAAATGGCTCATTTTGTCCCCATGGATCTCCCCGTCGATACTGCGAAAGCATGAAGTAGCTCGTTGTTAGTAAACCCTGCTCATGGCACAGATTATCTGTGCATCTATGCCAATGCTGTGCAGTGCTGCCCCTACTGCCTACCTACAAAGCGTTTAACTGTCTGAGCATTGCCCAATCAGAAGCAATTCAGCCCTCTACTCCAGCAAACCACGTCTTGAATTTCCAGAATCCGACGGAAATGACTCCAAGGCACTGATAGCAGCCATTTAGTGGGCCAGGGCATGGATTTGCCATCTAATTCCTCAGCCCTAGAGGCAGCATTGTCACCAGCTGTCGGTATGCGAATTGAAAACGGTTAGTCCGAGCAAACAGCCACTGAGGCGAATACCTGGATCTCAGTCTAAAAGGAAACATGTTACGGAACTCCAATGCCTGTATTAGTGAGAGCACGCACAAGGCAGGTCTATGCGAAAACTCGTCCACAGTTGTCGACTTCTACCCTGAGCTTTTCACACACGATACAACCGAATTGATACTGAGTACTAGAATGCTTGCAGCACAACCCAATTCGAATGAAGGAAAACGGTAATACTCAATTCCGATGGAATCTAATGCTACAGACTTTCACTAGAGAAAAACTAGAATGCCGCCATGTTATTCAAATGCGATCGAGAATCACGGAGGAGCCAAATTGAGAATGTACAGACTAAGGCCTTCGAGTTAAATCCAGTCCAGAGAGCGATTCTAAAGCGACTGTTATTCATGCTACTCGACACAAGTTGAGCTTTTTTTTCAGCATGCGAATGAGAATCATGAGACTTTGACCAAAATTTGTGTCCTATCAGCTTCACTAGGGACTATTTACATATTCTTAATCGGCCAAGAGTGCAGACACGAGATGAAGAACTGAAGGAAAGGAATGGATCATGCTATCGCTACTCTCTAGTCTAGCAAGCAGGCGAGAAAACAAATGACTCTTTGTAACGTCCTACGTTGACACGATAGAAATTAATACTTGTTAGACTGATAAGACATGACTTACAGATGTCCAGAAACAGTATGGATTATGTAAGGGAGACGTCTCAGATAAATAATATCAGCGGGTGGGAGTTATTATATACAGGTAGCTCGAATATGTAGGTAGTCTCCAACAAGTAATTATGATACAAGGACATCGTATGCCTAATCCCATCAGCAGCAAAGCGACTAGTCATACTCTAGGCAAAGGTGAACTGGAGCTTCCTCCCAACTCATACCACAGCTCAACGTTACATGAGATAAACCCTGAACTCAACCTGTGTGGTAACCAACCCATTACTTGGCCCACCAACACATATGCTATACGTTAAGATTAGTATCTGGCAGGGGATGATGTTGATCTAAACGTATTCCTAGACAGGTTATTGAAAGACTACAATTCAGACTGGTTGCGAAGCCGTAGCTTATATTACCATATTACCATATATCCTCTGATTCACATATTCAAGAGTATTTAGCATGCGTGACTAGCTTCTCAGGCCATGTCAATTAAGCATGATAGAAAGGATAGTAGGAATTTACCGAACAATTTCGAAGAGTTCAAAGCTTAGCAATACGGAGAATCCTGGCATTTTTCAAAGAAGCACCACCAAAGAAACTCAAGGCACTAGAATACATATGCCCCCCCAAGAATCGGATCCGATTACAGTAGAATATAGCACCGCTGTGTGAGATTTTTTCTCGGCAGAAAATCATCTCGTGGCCATGAGAGACTTGGAGTATCTGGGAGATAGCAGCGATTCCTAAAGGCCCTCTTGCAGCTACAAAAGTTTCAGCAGTCTATATCACAGTATCTAGACTAAGAAGAGACGCAAAAGGTTATTCATAACTCTCTTCCACCATAGAAATTAGAACTCTCATACTTAGTAGAGACTGAATTATGGAGAACAGGAATTTCTACTTTGTGCATAGATGAGAAGAAAATTATGGAGGAAAGATCAGCCCACCTATTGCTTTGATCTTCTAGGTAGATTGAAGCTACAGGAGCTTTTGTAGCCCTTTAGTAATGCAACCGAATATCACACAATACCTGCGTAGAGGGCTATAACGTTGGCACAAGCAATACTATTCATGATGGAGAGATGGGAGTCATTGTCAGTGCTACTGGACGTGCAGAAAGAGCGCCACAACAAATGAATTTTGCCATATCCCTACACAATCAACGGACCCTAAAAGACTCTATGGGTCCAAAGGATTTCTGGGCCAAGTATGTATGAATAGAGCTTCGATAGTATCGAAGTTTCTGCATATAAGGGGGACTATTCTCAACACCTGTGAGTGGTGTCCCCTACGAACCTCCAGCTCTCACTGTAGAGTCTTTAGAGCCGAGATTGAGTAACAAAGCCCTCACTTCGAAGAGGATTCCCAATCGCTTCCGCCGTCTGTATCGTCTTCATCTCTCAACACATCCCCTTATCACCAATATCATGAAGCTAACCACGATCAGATCAGATGGTAGGGTCGAAGCCCTTCTCATCACCATCCCTTGATCATGGAGGAGAAGCCATCCGATGAGTTTCCGGAGCGTACTCAGCACCCGATACGGAGATGGTGGACTGGATTAAGTCGGCCTCGAATGTTACAAAGATGAGAGATGTAGATGAATATGCGCACCTCATGTGGTCCCGGTGTCTAGGCCTCGCCTGGCTGGGGCTGCAGGGTTTTCGAGACTTTTTCCGGCGCACGCAGTTTCCATTGCTACCATTTTTTTTTGGGTAGAAGGTCCCGAGGAAAAGGTGGCTGAATTCCACGGGTAAACACTGAGCTGAATGGCTATTCATCAAGGGGAATATATCAATGATCTTTCAAGTAAGAAAAGAGGAGAGGAGCACTGTACAAGGTGTGGTCTGGGGTCAGAGAGGAGCCCAATGTGCTAGATATTCATAGACTGAAGCAGTACAATAAACATCACTCACTCTGCACATTAGAGAAACGAAACATAAGCTTGTATTGGTGCTAGCTCATAGAGGAATTTATGGGAATACAAGAGAAGCATATGGACAGCTTCAATGCTGTAATTCACACATGAGCCTACTGGAGGTTAGGTATAAGGACAAATTTTATGTTTTGTGATCGCTGAAGGAGTATAATTTATGTAATTACAAGAGACCCGGTGTGCTCCAAGATTTATTGGAACTTACACGAATGTAGAGATTGTATCAGAAAGTGTGTTTCGAGAGGAAAACACAGCCGACAACGCTCTTGGACTTGATGGGATTCGGATGGGTTAGTAAACACATCTATTCATGGGTTTACGGGCGGAGTTTAGTTCATATATGCATGGAAATTAGTCATGATAGACTTTGTTTGGTTGTGCTGTGTACCAAAATGAGCAGCCGGCGGTCGACTTACTTGCTACACGCGCAGCAGTATGGACGTGTGTAGCTCATGTTCGATGCGCTCATATTGAAGGCTCCTATAACGTAAACTGACCTGAGCCGGCTGGGCGACTGTTGTATCGTTGTATATTCGTTGACGAGAGTTTTGCGTAGATGCTTCCCCATTTTCCAGAGCATCATTCTCTCGGGCATTCTGATCGGGACT